ATTTTACACTTTTTGAATTTTTTTCAGGAAGCCATCACTAGCTAAGTGTGAAAGTGAATAATAGTAATAATAATGTTACAGTATTTCTTACGTATTTTATGTGACTCACGGCAACTATCTGAAGTTGGTAGTATTGTTATTCTTTTCCTTTACAAATTAAGAAACTAAGGCATGGAAAGGTTATGTAATTTTCCTAAGATTCACAGCTAGTAGATAAAGCATCTGAGACTAGAACTCAAATACTATAAAATTATAGAGAATTTGCTTTTAACCATGATACCACAGCCACCCAAATAAACCCAACAAAATGAAATCTTTTTTCAATTTTTCCTAATTTAGTGTTCCTCAACTTGTAAGAATACTGTTTTCTTAAAACTTACCAAATTAACATAATAAACCAAACACTGCCATGTCCCTTGTCACTTTGAGGTTTGAATTTGTACAACAAACCTTACAGGCTGTGATCATTTCTTCCTGAGAATTCCACATGCAATACCAGTAAAAAGCCACCACAGCAAGAATGATACCATGAGGTATTGCTGTATGGACCAAATGTCTAGCCTTTCCTCCGGTATGGATGAGTTATCTCAGTGTGTGCAGAATACAAAATAAGCGTGCTTTTTCTATAAACATTTGGAAACTTCTATGCAACCAGTCTCTAATAACATGTTCTAATAATCCTGTGTTGACTTTTAGTGATGACCACGTTAGCTTCCAAATTCCCACAAAGAACATATTTGACAATTTTTCTGGAGTTATTCAGTCACTCCAGTAAGCTAAATTACTAGTTCTCGGGCTACTTTTTGCATTTTAAAAGATTATGGAGCATTCTGTTGTTTCCAGAGTTCTGGAATTCTTTACAAATTAAGAAACTAAGGCATGGAAAGGTTATGTAATTTTCCTAAGATTCACAACTAGTAGATAAAGCATCTGAGACTAGAACTCAAGAACTCTGGAACTCTGGAATTCCAGTTCTCCAAAGATTCTCAAAAATCACAGAGAGTGACACTGGGATTTCAGCTTCAGGGTCTTCAGAAGTTAACCACTGTTTAAATGATGTGTATTCCCATGTTTTTATTCTAACACGAAGGAGGAAGATTTGAATTCTAGTCACCTCAACCAATCTTTAACAAAGAGCTTTTCACTCTATATATTATAACTCCTTTGAACTTGAGAGACAGCTAGGACAGCATTTGGATTTGCCATGCCAATATATTCAGTGACAGCAGGAACTACAGATAACATACATGGTTTCTGCTTAAACAGAGCCCCATGTTAGATATTCAAAACCCACTAAGCTGGAGGTGTACAGATTCACAACAGATATATAATATTCAGATCATCTAATACATACATTAACAAATAAATTTGATCTCTAATCCTAATTTCAATGAAAATTTATGTAACGGTATATATAGTGAACATTATTTTTCAAAGCTTTCATTGAAATAAAATGCTCTGTGAGATTTCTTAGGAAAAGATTTTCCCTGTATAAGATTTTAGGATGGTGCCACTTAATCATCTTACTGACCGAATCTCTAACTGACAAAAGCCATGTACTGGTCCTAATTTCACGTGTTCTTCTTTAAAAAACAAAACCAAACAAAACAAACAAAAAAAAACTAGTAAGAATAATTTTTTTCCCAAGCACTTGTTCCAGTGTTCTTTCTCTGTTTCTCTAAGGGTAGCTTTATTGTTTAATCTTTGCTTTTACGGGGATGTTTTCAGATTTAATCTATAGTTTCACATTGAAGAGCCTGATAAAAGGAAATTTGTAACCGTCTCAGTGCTTAAGATGTAAGGATTTATTCAAAGCACCAAACCTTTCAGAGTTTTACACTGTTAAGTTGGGAAGGATTTTTAAAGTCTGAACTTAATGTCAAAGTAGCACACTGCTCACTCCTAGGAATTTTACGCTGTATAAGCAGTGCATTTTTAGAAGCACAGTGGAAAGCTGGGGTAGTGGAGGAAGCTAAGTGAAGCAAGAAAGCAACGGTGGTGCCCACACTGGTGAGCTTGTGAAAGGAAAAGAGTCTTGGTGAGGCCAGAGAGGATGGAAGGGACTTTAGTGTAAGGTAGTAGGTTAAATTTGATAGTGTGTTTAGACAGGGTGGGGACGAGCATGTGGAGGCTTGGGGTGAAGAGAAATGAACTGTAACAGAGGCTTTATTTGGAAAAAAACAATTGAATGAAAACAAAATAAAAAATAACATGTTTCTGGCAAGAGAGTCTGGGCCAGGACAGGAGGACAGAACAGACTGGTATATGAATAAAGCCAGGCTCAGGGAAGGATTGACTAGAAGCTGCCAATGGCTAGGGTGACACTTTTATTTTTCTAATTTATGTTTCCCATTATTCAGAATCCCTTTAAAAAAAAAACAGGCATACTTTTATCACTAAGCCTTGTAGTCTTAACTCTTCCTCCGAGTATTTCTCAGAATTCCAGTGTGCACACATCCAGCCTCCACTGACCTCAGGCACACGCCCCAGGGGCTCTAATGGACCATTATCTGTTACTGCTTCTCCCAGATGGCAACCATGAGTGTAGCTACCAGGTTCCAAGGCTTGAAGATGCCAACATCCCCAAGAACAAGCCTTGTGGCCACCTGACTTCAGCCTACTACAATTTTCTATGAATTCTGCATTTTCAGAAGGTTGAAAAGCTCTACAGCTTCATAAGAATCTATGCACTAACTACCCTAGTTAGTGAAATTCTCTCTCCTAGCAGGAAGGATCTAGCCTCTATGAATGAATTTTTCAGTTGCTAGTGGTTATTCCTGTGGATCTAGTCTGCCTAGAGTACAAAGCACTGGATGATAAAATACTCAGATGGGGTTGCGCAGAATAGCCATTCTTGCTACCATGTGGCAGTACGATCAAAAGTCAGGCTGCCTAGATTAAAATCATGCCCCTACCCCTACTGCCTACAGGACCTGGGAAAGCTACTGAACCTGAAAGCTCTCTCAGCCTATCTCCGTATCTGTGAGATGGAGATAACAACGAATCTTGCTTCAAATGGTTATTATGAAAAACCAGTAAGTTGATACAGGTAAATTGCTTAGTCAATACCCAGTAGTTAATAATATTCCAGAACATTGTTTGCATCAGAATGGTGTTCTTCCTCAGTCTATTGGGAATCTAATAATCCAACAGATCTTTCTCAAAGACCATGGTTACTTCGAGGGAAGTATTTCGCATTGGCAAATTTAGGAGCTCTTTGAGATTTCTAATGCCAGAATCAGTCCACTAGAGTTGCCCCTCCTTCAGCCAGAAGGGAACCAACAAGAACAATCCCGGCTGCAGAAGGGCAGGCAGGGTGCAGAAACCATGGTATTAGTGGCTCCCTCCATCTCTTACATCAGCAATAAATGCAGGCCAAGTCCTTGCTTGCAATTCAGAAGGCTGTGCCCAAATACTTCATTGCAACTAATTAAGAAAAGGGAGACACCTGACAGTTCTGCTAGGGAATTTAAGATATCACAACAGGACTTGCAAAATAAGCCGCAGAATACCCAAATTTTCATCTCTCACATCGCTTCCTCACTTACAATTTCCTTCCTTAAGTAACGTGCTCTGGTAACACATCTTTTCCTTAATTTACTGAAATTGTTGAGTAGTAGAACTTCAGGAAAATTCCAGCCCTTGGGATAATCCAATCGATTTTTCTGGGATACTTGACACAACTCACCACGTGGTAAAGAGCTTAACTGCACTCTTCAAAAAACGTACCAACCATGCTAAGAAATAGCAATACTTTTCCCACAGATTCTAGGGCTAATTCTTACTAAATGTGAAAGTAAAATAGTTAATTGAAAAGTAGACCATCATTCTTCAAGCAGAAAGCAAAGATAACATTAATTTAAAAATAATTAGTTGAAAGGTTTCCATCCTCACTGACTACCTGAGTCAAGGAGCACTGATATTACCCAAACTGTCAAGTTCATGAAGAAACAAGAACTGACAGGGATTATGGACAGTAGCCACTGAGACAAAGGCAAGGGTCTTTAATTAACACAGTTTGGCACAGGATTAGAGACAGAATTTTCTAGCAACAAATGGCTTGTTTTGAGAAGTACAGACCTGTATAACTTCTGAGCCCTCCAAGTTTTCATTCCAGAATTCTAAACCTCTGTTTCATGAGAAAGGAGAGCTAGAACTTGTAAAAGATGAGAAAGTCACAGAGTGGCCATTGCTTTAGATTATTTGTGGTCTAGGAAGTTTCTAGAAAGGAAACACAAAACCCCAAACTCACTCTTGGTCGGTAAGTACTGTAAAGACAAAAATTGTTTCTTGCTTTCCTAATTCTTTTCTCTAAATTAGTCACCTTTCAATTCCACTTTCAGACTCTCTGACTCTTAAATAATGGCTTTTTAGGTCAATCGATTTTATCTCAGTCATAAAAGCAAGCAGGCAAGATGAAAAGTATTTACTAAATCTTTCAAGAGGCAGAACCTGGATGTTTGGATCCCAAATGCAATCTCCTCTACAGTTTACATTGGGAAAAAAATGCCCTTTAGTGTCTAGGTTAGCCTGAAAAAGTTCCTACCAAGGGTAAAGATGTCCATTTACCATTTTCTTATTTCTCAATAATCCTTTTCTTTCTTAGGGAGAAAAATGACAAATGGCACAAACTTATTTCACATGTTCCAGTGTCATTCCTGTTTATCAGAGGAAGGCAGAGCAATCACTGCATCTGGAAACCAAACCAGGAGGTGACATATTAGTTTCCAAACATTTCTCTGAAAAGTAGGAACATAAGACATAAGAAAAGTCGTACGTGAACTCTCCGGTTGCTCATGGCAACCTCAGCTGCATATGGCAACCCACTCCGGCTTGGACATCCAGGTTGCCTTCCATGGGGGAAGAATGATCATACACATGGTAAATGAAGTGAAACAGTAAAGCCAATATAAACACTGATGTTTTGTCTTCTGACAGCATATGAATGTGCAAGCATTAAGTTATAGGAGAAAAGGGGCTAATTTTAGATTTGTTCCTAGCCCTCTCCATGTGAATGGTGTCGCTGTGAGCCCAGCAATGAAGTTCACTGTGTTGTAGCAGACTGCGCAGTTCCTGAGTGTGTCAACCCAGTCTATGAACCAGAGCAATGTTGTCCTGTCTGCAAAAATGGTAAGACCGTGCTGCGTTAGCTTTCAAAGAGGGGTTAGTGCATAATCCACATACTCCACCACAGCACACCATTCAATGCAAGAGCCCTGTAAGGTCTGCCTGTGGTGTTTCAGTATGAGCATGGCCAGTTTATATTTTTATCCCACCGTAAAGTGAAAATAAGCCAGCGATGGGTGAATCTTGAAGCTTTCCATGTGGGGAATTAAAGCTCTTATAAGCTGACTTTGTGGTGATCCCTGTTACTTACTGTTGATTTATAAGGAGAATTTTGGAAAGAATACAGTAGCATCTTTTTGTAGTGACTGAATTACTCTCCTGTGGAGGCTATGAAGCCATTCACAGTGCATAACCCAGGAGAGAGCGTACAATAAATACCAGGTATTTTGCTTTGGGCGTAGATAAGACTTTAGGTTTAAAGTTAAGATATCAAAGAATTACAAAATTCAATTATTCACGCACTTCAGTTGAAGTAAAGAGGATTAGAAAGTTTAGGACTTTTACTCTAGGTTTTTATTACAATGGAAACTTGCACGTATTAACTGCAATAGAGAAGAACTTGGTTTATAAGTTTATGGGTTCCTTTTGGCCCTCATAAAATGGAGACTTTGAAATGACTACAGCATGTGAAACACTCAAAATTGAGGTGACGCTGCAAAGAGGACAATGCGATGCCATCCGTCAAACCCAGGACAGCATATCAGCAAAATCAGTATCATACTCCTGCCACTAGTCATATACCACCAAGAAATAGAGCTTCACTACATAACGTTCCACAAATGCCCCCTCTTGGCATTATTATCTGCTTGAAAAAGTAGTTCTCGCTCTTAAGTAAGCTGAGGTCATTCTAATGCTGAATCCCTATGCCCTTCCTTGAATTAGCGGTCCTCATCTTTCTCTCTTACACATTTTTGTCCTGAATTTGGCATTATGTTAGCTCACCTACTAATCTTTCCCATCGCAGAATTATATTTAGTAAAAAGAGGTACTGGGTGATTTAGCCAAAGGAAAAACAAAAACAGCTGTGATTATTTATCTAATACTTGTAGTGTTTTGGTATCTTCTCGAATGACTTACTAAGAACCCTTAAGAACATTTTTCCAGGCACAGTTTTTATCATTTTTGATCATATAAATCTATTGAATTGAACATTAAACTGTACACCTGGCTTCTCTTTTTCTTATCCCTTTCATGCAAGTAGCCTTTGTCTTAGCGACCATCTCTCTGACTTAGAAGGTAGAAATAAATTATCCTCCTGAAGTTCAAATCTACCTAATGTATGCCAAGATATCAAATTTAAGACTTTACATTTTGGAAAGTATACTGAAGAAACTGGAAAGATACAGGGAAGAACAATGGGATGATTTCATGGTTGAAAAATAGGACCTATGAGGACAGACTGAAGGAGTTTGCATAATTTGTTCTGAAGAAGAGAAGGCTCAAGGGAGACCTAACTGTCATAAAGTGTACAAGTGGTTAGTCTAAAGTGGAAGAGCACCTGTTATTTTTCATTTTCTCCAAGGACAGGAGGAAGAAAAAAATCAGCTACCTAATCATTCTTTAAAACTAGGATTGACAAGTCTTTGACTGAAGGCTGTTTTTTTTCCTAGAAGCAATTGTCTAAACAGGTCCTTGAGGATCCTCTCTTCCCTGGATGGTCCTGGTTAGCTATATTTCACATTTAGAGTAAACAAAACTATACTTAACGTTAAAAATTCTCATCTGGACATACTAAGAATACCGTGAGAATTAAAGCACACTAGACCATAGGTGTAGAATACAGGGTTTACGTGTGCACCTGTGGTGTCACCCCCGGACTCCCTACGAGTGCCTGTAGCAGGTCCAGAGTCAATGTCCCTGTCAAGTGTTCAATCAGCCACTGCAAACTAGTCACACTTAATTTTAGGTCACCCAAGATTATCCTTTTTCTGTCACATGCCAGACTAGAAATTTGTCCTCAGATGAAACTCTCTTTGTACAAAAACGCAGAATGAGTGGACTTTAATTGTTTGATTAATTAGTTAATTAATCAGTAACCCACCAGCATTCCTGAAAAACATATCTTGAGAGAACAAAATATATTAGTTAATTTTCCAAATTTTTGTTCCAGAAGCACTACAAAATGACAACTTCTGTTCCCTTTGGCCATTTCCAAGGAAACCTTTTTTCTTTTTTAAATAAGGGAAATAAATTAACCTGAATTAGAATTAGTCAGAAGACTAACACTGATTGCAGTATAACATTGTGACATGTCATCTTTTTTATTATTAAATGCCACTAATTAGTCACTTACGTCCCCAAAGTACAATCATTGTCAAAGAAGAGCATATTAAGGGCTGCTGGAGAATCCTTATGACAGCAGTGGTACCAGTATTTTTATTGAGAGAACAGACAGAACCTCAAGTCTTGCTTGCTCTCGTTTTTAGTCCAGAAAAGAGACACAACTGACCCACGTATAGAAGAGCTGAAGGCAATAGCATGCTTATCGTGACAAAATAGAACAACTTCTTCAATTTCCAACACATGATAAGCCTATCTCATTCTATACGACAAGATTCATTTGCCTAGTATAGTGTAAACTCTTTTAAAGTATGGTACTATTTTCTTAGATTAGAAAAACAACAAGATAAAAATCTGCCCTGTGGAGTCAAAGTAGAGGCAACAGGCCTTCATCTGTAAGCAGCCCTATAACATTTTCTACATATTCTTAAATCATCATAAATGTTGAAAATTTTTCATTTGCTAAATACTATCTTAAGCTGCCAAATACCTTCTTTTTGCATACTAAAATTGATTTTTCTGCATTCCAGAAATATAATTTGCCAAGAGCAAGAGACATTAAAGATATAAAATGAAAGTTTAAAGCAATAGAATCTACCACAAACTCAATATGCACCTAATATCAAAATCTTTCAGATTAAGAGCAAGAAAAAAGAAGTATATTGATATATATGTAGATATATATGTAGTTTTTCCAGAAGACAGTGGTTTACCAATGAAAATATAACATTTGCCTTTAGAAATAAATATTTTTAATATTATAAAGTACAAGGTAATCTTCTCTCTAGATAAATAATGATAGCCTCTATTCTCTGTAATATAATTTATAGAAATGAATATAAAGAAATATACTTCTAAAATTGTTCTCTAATGATGTTAAAAAACAGAGAGAATTTTTAATTTCTTGGTCTCAATGGTTACCTCAAGCAAGATTTTCCAGTGGTTATCGATAAAGACAGCCAAGCCAAAAAATATACTCCATTCTTATTAAAGTGAGTTTAGCACCAAGAAAAGACTGTCAACTAAGTCTGAATAAAATAAAAACGTTAAGGAAAGATGTGAGTGGCTGAGCATACAAAAAACAGGAGGAGAAAGAGGAAAGTAATTTTTCATTTGAAGAGGATTAGAGTGATTGACATAGGAATTTATTGTTTTAAAAAATATTATTAAGCATTCACTTATCCCTCCCCTATACATCTTCAAGAGCTAGCAATAGAAATGCCTCTGAAAGATAAAACGTTTCTAGACCATTTTTCTTCCCCCAAGACTGTGTTACTTTGTCCTATTTTTCAGCCCCATTCTTTTCCATGGGAATTAATTAATACTCTTTATCAGCTTTGTTTCTATAATATGAAAAATAAATCAGCACAGCAACTGCTTAAAGGAAATATTTCTATTTTGGAGTATCATATAAATATTTCAAATATTTGGTAAATGACTATTCATTTTGACTAGTGAAGTATTTGATCACTAGATCATTAGTCAATGCACATGACTAACTGCATTTTTTATATTTCATCAGCCAGTATGTCAGTGAGTTCTATGTTTTCACTGGGATATACAGTCAGTCATTATTCATCGTTCAGAAGAAAAAGTCACTTCGTGAAAAATTAGAATAGACAGGAAACACCCACAAAATCCTCCATACACATTAAGTGAGAAGTTTTCCTATCCTTTCCAACTATTAAACTGAAGTTGTCATAAGCCCTGTTCAAATATTTCATTCCATATCGCTTACTCTATTCTGGTTTAGTAGTGATACAAATAAGGAAGGAAACAGTCTGGCCAAAAGGCAAATGGAAAGGAAGAAGACAAAGGGGATGGGCAATGCACAAATAGGAGAGAGGACTTTAGAGGCATCCAACACCTTCTAAAGGTGCTTGGGGGAAAAGGTGCTATGTGTCAACACATACAACTGCTACTGTCCCTATTATACAAAGAGCTCCTTGAAATAAATAAGAGTGAATAACAATTCTACAGGGAAGTAAATGGGCAAAGGGTATATAAAGAAAACTCACAGAAGAAGAAAACCAAATGTCTAATAAATATATGAAAATATTCTTAACCTCACAAGGGATCAGGGGGATAAAAATTAGAACAATAAGATACCAGTAATGCATTGATAATAATTTGAGATTGATAATAAATTGGCAAAGATACTGAGTTGAGAAAATGTTGAAATAACTTTTAAAAAGGTACTCTCTATCAAAATTTGCATGTAACTTGAAATCAGTAGTTCTATTTCTTGTACTTTGGCCTACATTCATGCACTAAATTTTCACTGCACTTTAAGAGCAGAAAGCTGGGAGAAAATGTAAAACTCCTTCAATGGAGTAGTGAAATATACTAAAGCCTTTAAAAAGATTCTACTGACATTTTCACTGCTGTGTAAAAATAAGCAAGGAGTGTATAGTGGACTATACATATTTTATATATAATATAGTAATGTATTCTATAGAGAATACATACATTTTAAGTGATATATATTTAAAACATTTTTAGTTTTAACTTACATACAATTTTAAATAGATATTAAATGTGTATGTACACAGGAAGAGAGCGAAGTGTGGATACACAATAGAATATTAACAATGATTCAACAATTACTTTTAGGGAGTAGAAGTGAGAAGATAAAGGGAGGGGTGACAAGAGCTAATCTCTTTAGAATATTAAATCTTTACAGATTGATAATAAAAGCAACAGAAAAATACACAAACAGGCAG